CAATCTAATTTATCTATTTAATTTGTTATAAAAATAAATTGTATTTATTAATGATAAGGTGATTTGAGTGCCGTAGTTGGCTAATGCAATGAGTAGACGATCACGTGACAGCGCATTGTTGGAATGGGACAGTGGGAAAGGGATGCACATCGGAGAAATGTACCGCAAACTGCCCTGTGTACCCCAAATCCCGGATAAAGTGCATCCCGTGTTTACGGAAGTGTAAAGCTTGCATGCTGATAGCTATTCTGCAGATCGCCTTTCCCGCAAAGACTAAAGACAATGCGGAACAATTATGGCTAATGGAGAGTTTGTGGTTGGATATTCTGGGAAGATAGTAAGGGCAAGTGGAAATGCCACGCAATTTCGCGCTTAAATCTCCAGCAGTCGCGCGGTTTGGAGAAATGTCGCTGGTAGCGCGAGGGCGGTGCCCGTGGTGTCTCATATTCAGGATGATTCGCTCAGCAACGCTCAAATTTAGGTTTACGATGCAGCACTGCAATTCACAGATGACAAATTTGTTGTGGAAAAAATCACTATTCTTCTCCTGAATTAGATTAATAAATATCTCATTTAATTTTACATAGAAATGGTTCGTTTTTGCACAACATTTTCTTAACAATTTATCTTATTCTATAATATATAGGTATTGTGGTGAGTTATCGTTGGTATTTCTAATGAAATAATTATAAGCGTCGTCATTGCCAACAATATTGTTGCATGACGCATTCAATTATTTCTTCTATAACCTCAACAAGGTCCGGCTCTTAGAGCGTCAATGTTCTGAGAACAGTTTCAAGTACTGTCCAACTAAAATTCTTCATTTATTTAATACAAACATAAAAAAGCAAAATTGTTAATTTACGGATTTGTGTTGGAAATTATGACAACCGTCTATTCTGCTATAAACGCTACCGTGCCTAATTTTAGACCGCCAAAATCTTAAGCCTGCTAGTCGGCCGACAGAATTGCAGTGCCCTCGCTGTTTACAAATAAGACTACGAATTACCAAACTACCATAGATTTCAAGTTTTGGAAATGCGCATAAAATTACAGTTGTGACAAAATTCAAAAATGATAAGAAAGAGTTTCCAGAGAAATATACTCATCTTGCGAGAATACGTCAAGAAATTGTTTGTTGTTAACATTATTTGAAAAAAGCTGTATCTTCTCACCTTAAATGATTCACCTGTAGATGCGTGCAGCGTATAATATATTATCTTGTAACTATGAAAGCGTAGGATCATTTATAGACCGTTTCGCACACCTCACAACAAAACTGCTCTCTCAGTCTATAACGGTTTTTCGATTCCCTCCCCGAATAAAAACAGCATAAATTAGGGTCCTTTATCTGCCTCTCGCCGGTGTCTGGAAAGCGCTCGGAGCCCTGAGGAAGGCCATTTGTTACGATGCCGCTGCCAGATTGCGTCGCGGGAGACGCGCGTCCCGTCGGAGCTGCATTTCGCGGAGGCTGTGCATCGAGTCCTCCGCTTCATCAGTCACCGGACCGCAAGTGCGCGACGACCTCGCCCCCTCTTCCCCTCTCGCCACCACCCCCTCGCCACTGCCCTGCTTCACCACTTCACAACCGGCTCCTTGTGTCACGCAGCGCACACTGCCCTGACTGAACCCAACTCAAACGCGAGCACAAGAGAAAAGAAAGTTTTTTAACAGTATTTTATTGATAACCATCAGTTTAAATAACATCACATAAACTGACAAGCCATATTTGTGGTTTGTATCTAAAAGATATTTTCAATCCTTTTTTGTTTGAGAGTATAACTTCTGTGGGTTTTTTGTTCGAGTTGCCTCTACACGTTGCCAGGGGCTCTGTCGGCACACAAATAAATTCAAGAGTTGCGCCGCCCGAGTACATTAATTTGCGACATTTCTGTGCGGGCGTTCTGAGATACTTTAATGATTTTTTAAGTACTAATGAAAAATGGTCAGAAGAAAATAGGCTGACATCATTGATGCTACACAAGCACGGCTTCGACTTTTTTAGCGGGTGGGCAAAAAAAAAATTAAGCTAGGGCAAAGCCCCGCAGAGACCGTCCCATACCGAGCCCGCCCACCCCGGGGCGAAGCCGACCGGCTTCGATTGTTAAAGGGATAAATGAGATCGCCTGGGTTTGAGCCGCCATTTCGGTAACAGCTCAGTGTTACCTACGTATCGAAAATCATGCCACATTCGGGACTCGAACGGATAACATACAGAGAAACCCCTGCAAGCCGGCTTGCAGATCAGCTTGCAACACAAGTTCTGTCTCGCTGACACCTCCGCCATTATAACTACTCTTATGGGACTGCTTACCACAGCAGTTGACGTAACATCAATCAATCAATCACAAGTTTTTTGATGCACTTCTTAAAGATAAAAGTGTTTTTCTGTAGCGTTTTTCTGGAGCGATGTGGGCACTTTTGAACCAAAGAAATAAAAGCACTTTCTCGTAGCGACGATGGCCCGATTCACGAAAGATGTTCCCTTCACATTCACATCTGCCGCGCTTCGCAACTGAGTAAAGGATGCAACACAATAGGAAGCCTGGAGAAAGCGTTCACCTGGAAGACGTTTCGTCTTTTGGGGAGTCCGCCCTGTTCGACACTGACACTCGGCCACTACCTCCTCCAGGTCCTTTGCTTCTCACAGGAGACATTTGAGGAGAGTCGTGGTAGGTCTAAGATTGCCATTCCTCAGACAATGCACGTACTGTATAGTTTTTTTTTCGAATCGTCAAAAATGAAGTTGTAGGAAATGAAATCGAGATTCCAAAGATTGCTTCGGTCAAATCCACAATAAAAATTACCTTTCCTCTTAAATGTTTTCTTAACTGAATTGGTGAGTTGATTCATAATATCGTTTAAGTAAGACGTGAAAATGTTTTAGTTAAAAAGAGATAATGGGTCATTTTTTATTTGAAACGGTAAAACTAATTAGTAATATTTAATATTCATTTTTTCCCCACTACATTAACATTTTTCGGGTACGCGAGATATTTGTAAACAACCGGTTTTCCTATACTGTCTACCTTTGTAGAATGACGTGTATCTGGCATTACAACTGCGATAGTAATTACTTTAGAATGCGTACGGCATGTGATATGTAACCTGTTCCTCCCCCGACAGACCATGATACCTGTCGGATTACGCTGTTACCCCCAACTCCAGGTATAGCCGCCAGCGGTGCCACCGCTTCAGCCAATACAACCTCTTAAGTTCTCGACTCATCTCCCGGCATAAAGAGTTGTAGTGGAAGAAAGTATAAGTAAATATAAGAAAGAGAAAAGGATGTGGAAGGAAGGATCACGTGCGGCCCTTTTATTATAATGCTGGTTTGGTATTCCGCCAGGATTGTTCAAAGAATCAATAAAAGCTACAGATCAGAGCAAGTGGCATTAGTAATGTACTCAGACAGAGGCCTAGCTTTTTAGCATACACACGTCATTCGTACCCTAGGTCCTCCCAGTGAGAAACACTGCAGTGTCAGCACTGGTTGCCCTGAGCTAATTCACCCGGTGACGGTGGTACCGCGACAGACAGATTTTATCGCATTTTACTTGAGCAGAACGCCCTGCACCACGAAGATTGAAATGTAGGGCGCCCGCTCTAGCTGCAACCTGCACCCTGCGCGGGCACATCTCCGCGAGCGGTGGCGTCCGAAAGCGCTGCCGGCAGAGGCAGGTCCTCCTCGCGACGGTCCATCAGTCACGCGGTGGGCGCCCGCCCCGCCCCCCACCCACCCCGCACCGCCCCCGCCCACGCCGCTCTCACCGCCGCTCGCTTCAGAGTGAGGTGCTCTAACGACGGCTGTCGCCCGCGTCGCACTCACTCCAACCCCAAACCCTGCCCCTGCTCCTCTTCCTCCTCCCACAGTGGGACCGAGGCACAAGAGGGAGAGAGAGATAACAGAGAGCAGACGATATAATAGAGGGAGAATTGAAGCAGACTATATAGTGGACAATAACAGCAGATAGACAAAATATCAGAATGACATGTATACCGGAAACCGATGTAGTTGAAAGAGACTCTAGCATTCGGGCGATACAGCAAAGACAGGCAGGAAAATTGACGAGAGTGGAGAGAGAGAGAGAGAGAGAGAGAGAGAGAGAGAGAGAGAGAGAGAGAGAAAAGACAGACAGACAGACAGAGATTCAGCATACGTAGACAGTATGAAGAAGAGATAAAAAGACAACCATACATGTAACTAAGATATAGACTGGAAAACAACGAAATAACTGAGCGATACAGCCACATATAGTAAAGCTGATAATCTAGTAGAGCAGAAGAGGCACACACATGATGTCGAAGGTAGATACCAGTAGATATTAAGCAGAAAGAGTGATCGAGCACCCGAAAAATCGGGAGACTCTAGAAGGTAGAATCACAGAGGCACGAAGAGACAGAAATATCAAGAGTAGCAATGCGGCGGTACACGGAAGAAGGCAGAATATGTAATTGAATGTGGATTGTACCTTTCCAGTTTTCGAAATTTTTTTCGAAAATCGCATCCATTGAAAATTCGAAAAGTTTTCAAATTTTTATTACAATTATGGTAATGTTCATATTAGTAACGGCATGGTGATCTGTTTTGACAAAAGGTAAAGAAATATGAGTAGTTTTTAAGAAAGTAATGTTTACATATTTGTTTATTTTTTTCGTATGTATTACGTTGTTTGTATATTTGTTTCATTCTATAAAACAGATTTAATCAAGAAGAAAGTTAATCAATGCAGTTAGTTGTAAGAAGAAACCCGAACATTTTTTATTTTTTTCATTTTTCAAATCTAAGAGCTATTATTATAAATTCGAACGTGTGAAATTTAAATACGCATACTCTTCAAAAAACAAAAAAAAACTTTATTAAATAATAGTTTTCTCTTTGACTTTTATGACAAGCACTTCTGAATTATTTATTGTGCCTTATCCTCGCATTATTTTATTTCACAACTCTACTACTAATAGATTACTAAAATTGAGTAATTGTATATTTAAATTTACAGATATTTTCAATGGATGTGGATGTGTTTCGCAAACTAGGTACAAATCTCCAGATTAGATCTATATAATTGCTTCAAAATATTTACTGTAAGGATTAATTTTCACTCATAGAGTCGTGTAAATAAATGCATTTCAAAACACTGAAACCGGCTGAGTTAATGTCATTGCCGATGACTAATATTTTCGGCTGGTAAGGTTCGCGTCTTTGGGGTGTTGGACAGTAGCTATTTAACTAGGACGAATTAAACAGCTAGCAGGAGGAGAATTCTATTGGCTGGCTCCTTTTATTGCTGGTTTCTCGCGGAATCTCTGACCAATACCAGACTAATACCGGAGGAGTTCCTTAACACGCGAGTTACGGTAAAGATTTCCCCTGCACACTCGTACATGAACTGCACTACCACAAAATGTGTGTGTAGGTGTGCGCATTTAATGTCGTATTGTGGACATTTAATGTCAGTAGACTGGTAAGAAGCTTAGTGTTTGTCCGAGCTGGAGCAGTTTTCAGGTATGAGAGATACCTATCGGAGAAATCCCCACATACCCACATAAAGGTCGGCGCCGGGAAAGGAACAATGTCGTATCTAGGCAAAAAATTCACTACACTAACGGGAATAGTAGCCATAGCAGGAGACCTGCCCGCAAACATGAATTCATCGAGCCACTGCGCACTGGGCACTCAACTCCCCCCCCCCCTCCACCCCCCGCCCGTGGTCCGTCACGAGTGCGCGTCGCCACCAAAACGCGGGCTGTCCGCTGCTGCTGCTCTCTGCCGCCGAGCGGGCGAAGCGGGGTTCGCGGATGGCGTTTAGAAATGGAGCGCAATCAATGCACCAGAGTGCAAGTCCACGCCGCGCCCGGCGCCTCCACCATGGATGCCTTCCAGCTGATGCATCTACTATATGTGTGTGTGTAAATGAACATTATTATTATTATTATTATTATTATTATTATTATTATTATTATTATTACATTATTCACAGCATCTACTGGTCGTCATATGTCAACCACACACAGTATGATGACCAGGTGTGTGGTTGCTTACTGAAGTTCAGATGGCTTCTGACAATACGGCATGTATTCAAAATTACTGTCTTTTGCATATTATATACATTCCTGGTATCCAAGTGAAGACACTCCAGTGCCCGAGTGTCATTTTTCGGGATCACTCCCGTAGCTGATATTATTATTAGGCCAGTGTCACTTTACTGAAGTTCCACTGAGTTGCGACATTCATAGGCGAGTTCGGTTAACTTCGGATCTTCTCTTGATATTTTCCCGATATGTTGTGGGTATGGGTATTGATATATCGATAAGGAAAACCTGCTGTTGGTTCTATCAATGTACGTTATACGGCGTCTATTGCCGCCGACATGTCTGTCAGTGATAATGGAACGATCCCAGTAGAGTGTTGCTCACTACTTTCAAGCCATTCTGAGGCACATATTTATAATACGGCACGGAAGTTGGCGAGTAAGCCGTTCTCAACGCCAATAATTGGTGTACCTGCTTCGCCACTTCATCATGCCTCTTTTTGTATTCCACCTGATGCGTGGCTGCTACATCCACTTGTCACGTGTTGTATAGTTCGCTTGCAGGCCTCACATCTTTCTACACGAGTCGGTTCCGGACACCAGATCTTCATCCAAAGTCTTAATGATTATAATGGATACGGCATGTCCGGAGGAAAGAGTGTACGCATCGTCTCAGGGGGAATTGTGTCCCTTTTCTCTGTAAGGATGGAGTATATGATGTCCCCATATTTCAATCAGAACATCGATGAGGGCCGGTATTACCACTTGGTACTAGGGATAGCTAATACAAACAAAAATGAACAAGGCTTCTGTCTCCGCGAAAAAGGAGATTTTACCCCGCGCGCAAGCCCCGTAGTTCTGAAACTGAAGGGCTGAAAAGAGGAGAATAGAATGGGGAGCCGCTCGCTGCCTACCAGTTGCGGAAGCAAGGATCGTGCAGGCCGGATGATGCAGCGCAGAGGATGTCTTCGACTTGCTGTGGTACTCAGCTCGTGTGAATTGAGTGGTGGTGTACCTTCCATTTGCGCCGGAGTGGCCTTTGTTGACTTTCACATAAGTTCATCTGTCTCTTTCCGTCTTTCAAGTGATATGGGTTGTTGAAACCGAGGCGGGATCACAAGCTTTTTCAATCCAGAGGGACTATAGTTATATCAACGCGCTCACTGCTCTGCTGTAACTCTACCCACAATTGTGTTCCAAGAAGTATTCTTTCTGACGTGAAAGAAGCAATTGAGAAGTGCCTGGTGTAGGAGATTTTGGAGGACTCATACAAATACCCTTCGCCCTGCCTTGCGAGTACCGAGTGTGGAAGGCTTGTAAAACGCCGCAGTGACGCCCGCTTGAAAATGATCAATAGGCGATTTGATGTGTTTCTGGGTGTTGTTGTGCCCTACGTATCAATCGAAATCGGTTGCTTAAGATGAAAGTCATATAAGCAGCGTTCGTCGGAATTGTTACTCTGGATGTTTATGTCGAAGCAGTACAGACAATTTCCGATTTCTTGGGTGGGGGGACGTGCAAGGAGAGGGTTCGAGTTCGGAGGTTTTCGTTTGCGCCTATTATTATATTTAGGGTTAATTTTTTTATCAATATGTTAGAGTAGTTATCACTTGCTCCGATTTAATAACGCCAAGTATAAGGAATTAGAGTTTATTATAACCGTCTTATGATATTTTAGCACATACACATTTGGTCGAAGATATAGGCGCGAAAGGGCAGGTTATTAAGTTAAAGAATTAACAAGATGAATGATGGCGGTTTCTGCCATCCAAAATGTTAATCGAGGCGGTTCTAGCAGAGGAGTTGAAGTTTCTAAGAGTCCAGTGCCAATCCGCTTACACACTTCAGTTTGTTTAGTTATATTCTTAGTAATAACAGTTCTACACAAGCCAAACGGTGCTTGGGCCCCATAGCGCCATCTGTGTTTGAATTCGGTAGAAGTTCTAGTTTAAGTATCAGGTTAACGTCCGGGGCAGTC